AAGATATAAGATATAAGATATAAGATATAAGATATAAGATATAAGATATAAGATACAATATACAAGATACGGAAAAGAGAAAGAGAAGTTTATAAATATATGCTGTATATGCAAAGTCTTACAGTGAATCTTATGAGATTTAAATCTGAGTCAACTTTTAATGAAATTTGCCATCACAACAAGAAATCTGTAGCCTGCAGTAAATGTCTAGAGGGTGTCACGAACTCAAGTTCTAACTTATCCTAAATTAATACCAATCAATATCAATATTTTATAGTTTTAGAGCTCTCCCTTCCACCCATCCATTTTCAACAGTTATTTTGTAATAAATTCAGCTTAGCATCGAACCAAAAAATATCTACTTTGTCAGCCCCAATTTGCCAATAAATTCCTTAAAAATTTCATATTAAAACCGGCAAGCCCCCAAAACTATGCTACGATATTAAAGTTGCGCAAAAGTTTGGCCCAAAGGCGAGCATAAAAATGCCCTAAATTTTCAACTCATTACGTTATCATAATAAAGCCGACTACGGCGTAATGCTGAAGGATTAATTAGTTTGGCGCACGGCTTAAAATGACGTAAAATGCCAGTTACGCCCTTAATTATAGAGTTAACTCACATGTTCGACATAAAATCGCTCATGATTAAAGCATAAATCCCATAACCAATTTACTAATGCGCGGCTGCAAGTTGAGAACTCGAAAAGTTTGCGCACAACAGGAATTTTCGGTTGCCAGAGCTATGCGAAATGCTCAGATTCTTAACAAAAACTTTTCGTTAACTCGAAAATGTAAAATGTACAAATAAACCTGAAAATGTTGATATACATATATGTATATATGTGTAGGTGTGTGTGTGTGTGTGTGTGTGTGTGCGTGAGTTTGAGTAAATATTTGTGAGCGCTTTGAAACTATTTAGCTGGAAATGTAAAGGCAACCTAAGTGGCTCGGCCGTAGGCCAAGGCTGCGAAGCTAAACGAATCACAAGTGCAAAATGCATTTAACTATAATAGCCGCATGCACAGGCTGATGCATGTGGTTAGATATTAATGTATATGGGTATCCACCCAACCACCCAACCACCAACCACCTAACTAACTAACTAACTAACAGTTGACATTTGTGTGTATTTATGGCTGTGTATATTATAGTTGTTATTACTCATACGCCCCGTTGTGCCCGTGCTGCAGCTGACAACGTAACTCAATTTGATGATAATTATAATTATGCCTGCCGCTGTGTTATTTCCGTTGTGCATGAGTGTGTGTGTGTGTGTGTGTGTGTGGGGGGTGTTTGTGTATGTCAGTTTTTGATGGAGCCACCTTCATGTTGCGCATCGAGCGTTAAATGTGGATTAGTTTCAGCACAACAAAGCGCTAATAACATTAGCTGAACGAGTTTCAGCAATTAGCAGCTGATAAAACTAACTGAAAGAAAAACGAAACAGGAAAATCCTGTATGCAAGGCGAACAAGAAAGTCAAGTAAATGTAACTTTCTCGATTAGTGTGAAGTATTCAAGAACTTTTCGCTATTAGCTTATTGAAGCCTCATGTCATTATTGCTGAAGCTGACATATGTAGAGCACCTTAAGCTGCAATTCGTAAGAGTTTATATTATTTACATTAGAGCTCTTCTTAAAGTTCAAGTTGAATAAAGCTTCACTTTAAATAATTCTAGCTTAGGAAATTTTGGTAAAGCTTTAAGCTGCAACTCGAGAAAATAAACGAGTTTGTGTAAAACATAAAATTTGCTGTTTATTATGGGAAGAAAGTTAACTAAATGCAGATTTTTATAGATTTTATAGATTTTATAACTTGAAAGTCTGACATATGTAGAGTCCAGGAAGAGAGTCCTTTTGTTATATGAAAGCATTAGGAGCAAATACAGATTACTAAATCGCATTAAGTATCCTCAAGTATTGAACTATAAAATCTGGGTCAAATGAAGCTCATGAAAGCAACAAGTATTTGATTCTAGTTTCTACTTTTTATATAAAACTAACTTTACCACAAAAGTGTCTCACGAAAAGCTCACTAAGGCTTCCGTCATCACACTTTAAGATCTGCCACACATCAAGCTGAAAGCTCTGTTAATTACCTAGAATCAAGCATTTTTAGTTGCTCGCTCGAACTGACATTAGCTTCCATATCCACTTTAAGCCAGTGTCATTTGGCACTTGGCAAACTGGACAAACACACACTGAACTTGCTCGTCAATTGCGACACGCTGGGCAGCCACCTTAGCCGCAGTCGGTGTCGCAGCTGCTACCGCCACCGCCACCGCCTCCACCACCGGCACCGCAGCCGCATTGGCAGTCAAAGCCACACAACCACTTACGTAATTATCATTAGCCATTTGCGTGTCGCTTTAAAGTCGAAGGCAACATCTAAATAATCTGTCTGCAAACAAAAGGCCTCACGTTCCGCCCCATTCGCCCCATTGCGAATATTTGCTGTCATCTCCCGGCCGCAAAATTCAGTTGCTGTTTGAATTTCACCTCGGACGACAGCTGTTCAAACAAATTACAATGAATATGCAATTGTTTTGGGGTGCCCAGCGCACAAACATTTGATTGATGAAGACCAACACAACAGCAACAACAACAACAATAGTAACAGCAACAAAGATCTGTGCTCGAAATATGCAAATGATATAAAAATATCCACAAAAAAAGAAATATGAAAAGCAAGAATAAAGAAAAGTTGCGCACAGATAATGCCAAATGGTTAGGCGAGCAAATTAGCGTACTTAAAGTGATTCATTGAGGCGGCATATTTGATAACTTTGTGGCACGCCACAAAATATACACTAATCAGCGTGCCACCAAATGGAAAATTGCGCATCATTATGCGGATCATCGCATCGATGGAAAATTGTAACGAAACGAATTCACATTCAATTACGTCGTTGGCCAAATTGATAAACAGCAAGCACTCAATAAACGTATTAGCCAGGCTCGTATCTACGGCTCGATAATCTATCTGCAGCAATCAATTGAAATTATACAAATAGCAATTACTGTTGGAGTTATTTATACCTAGTCAGGCAAAAATTGTAGGTATTTTGTGTAGTATATAATAATTATCGATAAGTAGTGCTGACTGAGTTATAGCCAAATTATAGCCTCTAAAGAATTGAGCTATCGCTAAATTATAGCTAGCTATGTTTAGACATAGCTATAGACGAACAGCTGTAAATGCTTCCAATTATATATGATATTTATGTTTAAATTTTAAATTTTATTGTACAAAAAAATGAACAAGTTAAAATTGAATCGTGGACAGAGTTATCGACTTATCGATAAATATTTTATATATAAAATAATTAAAATTATATAGAATTATATATTATATAAAATATTTACAATAATACAAACATAGTGCAGTATATTTAATATCTCCAACCTTTGTTCCACTTTAGCAAACTTTCGCAAACTTCGTCTAGGTATGCAAAATAGACTTCACAGAGCGTATACTTAATATCAAGCTCTTCTCTCTTAAGTAAGCCAACGAAATTCTATTATATTTGACCTTTCCAAACTAAAAAAAAAAAAGCAAATAATTCTAGTATCTCTAAGCTGAAAGCAATTGCCATGGCACGCCTTAAAGTTGAATATATAAAGAGACTTCCCTGGCAACTTAAGCAATTATGTTTGATTGTTGAAGTTCTGGGCTGGCGGCTGAAACTTTTAATCTTGAATCACCTTGGCTCGAATTCAACACCAAAACTCGAGCTGGGATTATTGTGCTGTTATGCTAGGCAACCCACTTAACAGGCTTCTGCAATTTATATATATATATCATCCACAAAAACCAGAGGCAAATGTAAAATGCAGACATACGCAGAAATTCTGAATATTTTGCGCTTTCGAGCATGCATTGCCCGAAGGACTGCACAGAGAGCGACAGAGAAACTACCTG